ACAGAGCCATCCTTATCCATACGTTAGCATAATCATCTCCTGCAGTTGCATCTCTTAGTTCTGATTTTCAAAGAGGACTCTACTCCCATTCATCCTGATTCACAAACAAAATGTAATGCTTGTAATGACTGCTCTCATCCAAGGGAAACGAAAGCCTCATACTGCAGCAAGGAGTGAAATCAGTCTACAAGCTATCTAGTGAGGTTAAACGTCACCAGTTCTGTTTATGAATGCAAAACAGTGTCTTATGAATGCAGAACACTGCCATACGCTTTCGATCAAAATGGTGACAATTAATAAGAGCAGCCTGAAACTTCTGAAAATAAATCCAACGTAATCAAATACTCACCGCTACACAAATTACAGAAGGCAAGCTGAGAGAAGAATATCAACATATCATTTCTTCAGCAGGCTTCAAGTTTCTCAGCTAGTTAAAGAGCCCCAAACCCAAATTCTCCTCATCCACATAAACTTTTCTTCCACTAGATCTTTGACATTCTCTACTGCTGATAAAATATTTTTTACTGGATGCTGGCACACTGGCAGTAAGCAAACCCTAGCAGTTTTGCTGCTGATTCCATTTGGGCGAGTAACTTACTCTGCTTTATAGTATCTGCTTTACATCTCTGGGAAAGAGAGAGAGAACTTAATATTGATCTTACAAGGCAAAAAATATGTATATATAAATGCCAATTATTGTCATAATCCAAGTCTTACAAAAGGGACTGACCTCTGACTAAGCACAGGGCTGGGAGCCAGGTAACTCTGAATTCTACTCAAGGCACAGACTGATTCACACTGACACCTTATCTGTCTAACCCTAACCTTCCCTGCTTCTAAAAATCTGAGTTTCCTACTATTGTCGTAATTCTACAGCAATGAGGCAGGAATTCAAACTCTGAAGCTGGATTCAAGGGCAGAATTAAGGATCAGAAGGACTAACAGAGAAAAAAAGCTGTAGTGGCAGCTGACTGCTGAACCAGGGCCTGAAGCCCAAACCTGTGCCAAGAGCAAAGGAGCTACTCTTGGATCTGGGAGCTGAAGACTAAACTTTGATACATAAGCTAAGTAACAGAATCAGGGCAGGACTTGTGCGTACTTGAGTTACACAGCTAAGTAAATCTCACCAACACACCAAAATACTGTTGTTATTCCATGAGGAAAACACAGTCATTGCAGAAATAAAGCTGAAACATAGATGTAACCTAGCCACCAGACTGGCAAGTCATGTTTTCAGCTGTCAAGGTTACAGGGTAGGTATACTGCAGTCTTCTGCCTCCTCAGTTCACTTCAGAATTTAATCACTCCTTTATTAAAACCCAGCACCTCAGAATTCTCTATAAGGAGAAGCTAGCTGGAGTATCTAAATACTTGAGCAAATCTTCCCACAGAATATCCCCATAAGGCAGGGAAGTAGAAGTAGGCTAATTTTTGAGACCAAGAGTTCACAGGAAAAGCCTGGCCTCCAGACAAGTCAAAACTACTTGTTCAAAATCACACAGGCGTTCTGCAAGAACACAAACCAAGCATCTGGCCAGACTTCGAGGGTTTTCTCACTACACATACAACCATCCTACAGGGTCCTTCTATGGCATCAGATATGACAAGGCTCGGGACAAGTTTCAAGCAATGCCATTACCAGGATTTCCCCCACCTCTTCCACACGTAAAGGAAAAGAGACATTCTGAAGTATTTCAGGCAGTCTTTCTCCTCAGGATCTATTACCAGCAGTAACAACCAACACACTTACTTAAAGAGAAATGTTTACTTTGGAAAACTAAAATCCAAACCCAAATAGGTAACAGCAGCTCCTTGAAGAACATATATCATAATGGCAAAAACATGGGGTTTTGGCTATGTTTGCTTCCATATTAAAAGTTATATTTTATTTAAAAGCATTTCAAGAAGAAACACGCATCTTAGCTAATGCACTTACAGCAACAAACATCCCTTTGTGCAGCCCAGATCAAACTAGGGAAATTTCCTCTTGCGTGACACAGAGAAGACCCAGCCTATATTCTTAGGGCAAGTCCAAATCCTGCTCAGAGAAGGAGAAGAACACTTGAAGATGCAGGTGAGATGGTGAACCAAGCTATGACCTGTTCTTCAGCCCTTCTGCATAGCTCCACGACTTGGTGAAAATCACCACGGACCAGTTCAGCTCACGAACCCAGGAGAAAAATCAGCCAACCAAACCACCAACCCACCCATAGCTAGTATTTGCCAGGGTTAGCAAGCTGGATGAGCTTAGAGAAGGCTCTGATGATTGCTATTACCAACTCAACACATCAGGACAAGCCAATTTGGCCAAAAGTATAAGCAGGCATAAGAGGCACATGTGCAACAAGATTGCTTTATGGTCCCTTTCAGAATGGCTTAGCTGCTTGTGAAATCAATTAATTCATCTGGTTTATCTTGAGTAAAAGTAAGGGCTCAGACAAGATACTATTTCAGTTAAAGAAGATTAAAACAACAACTATTTACATGATACCCTGTCACTGAAGACAAAAGGAGCAATTTAGCCGAGTTCTCTTTCACCCAAGTTTAACTAACGAGTTTTGTGTCACATTTCAAGGAAGCTGGACAGAACGACTTTCTAAGCCTCCACTGTCTGTCACCATATGCCAACTTCAGTATCATTCACATAGAATCACAGAATCATAGAATAGTTAGGGTTTGAAAGGACCTTAAGATCATCCAGTTCCAAACCCCTTGCCATGGGCAGGGACACCTCACTCTAAACCACATCACCCAAGGCCTCATCCAACCTGGCCTTGAACACTGCCAGGGATGGAGCATTCACAACCTCCTTGGCCAACCTATTCCAGTGCCTCACCACCCTAACAGGAAAGAATTTCCTCCTTATAGCCAACCTAAACTTCCCCTGCTTAAGTTTTAACCCATTACCCCTTGTCCTACCATTACAGTCCCTAATGAAGAGTCCATCCCCACCATCCCTATATGCCCCCTTCAGATACTGGAAGGCTGCTATGAGGTCTCCATGCAGCCTTATCTTCTCCAGGCTGAACAGCCCCAACTTTCTCAGCCTATCTTCATATGGGAGGTGCTCCAGTCCCCTGATCATTCTCGTGGCCCTCTGGACTTGTTCCAACAGTTCCATGTCCTTTTTATGTTGAGGACACCAGAACTGCACACAATACTCCAAGTGAGGTCTCACGAGAGCAGAATAAAGGGGCAGGATCACCTCCTTTGACCTGCTGGTCACGTTCCTTTTGATGCAGCCCAGGATGCGGGTGGCTTTCTGTGCTGCAAGCGCACACTGAAGCTGGCTCATGTTCATTTTCTCATCGACCAGCACCCCCAAATCCTTCTCCGCAGGGCTGCTCTGTACCTCTTCTCTGACCCGCCTTTACCTGTGTTTGGGATTGCTCCGACCCAGGTGTAGGACCTTGCACTTGGCACGGTTAAACTTCATGAGGTTGGCATCAGCCCACCTCACAAGCATGTCAAGATCCCTCTGGATGGCATTCCTTCCCTCCAGCGTATCAACCGAACCACACAGCTTGGTGTCATCGGCAAACTTGCTGAGGGCGCACTCAATCCCACTGTCCATGTCAGCGATGAAGATGTTAAACAAGACCCAACACCGATCCCTGAGGGACACCACTCGTTACTGGTCTCCAGCCGGACATTGAGCCATTGACCACAACTCTTTGCATGCGGCCCTCCAGCCAGTTTTTTATCCACTGAGTGGTCCATTCATCAAATTGATGTCTCTCCACTTTAGAGACAAGAATGTCGTGTGGGACAGTGTCAAACACTTTACACAAATCCAGGTAGATGACATCAACTGCTCAACATACTTGTTCCTCTTTTTCTGTTGTTTTTCCTAAACAATGACAAGGCTTCGATCTAGTCCTTTTTCATCTGCATTACTCACACTGATTTTCTTTCCACTCAGCAGGCTTTTACTCACTCCCAAGACAGCTCTGTCACTGCTGGCAATTAGATTCATAAACCAGCCTGATAACTCAGGTAAACTTTAAGTGATTTTGTTGAAACTGTCTAGTTCTATCAGAAATTGTATCTTGAGAGATAGTTTGAAACATGCAACACAAATACTGATGGCCATATTGACACTCTCTATTAACATGTATTAATTAATCAATACTGCCCTAAGTCTGTGAAGATTCAGTAATTATGGAGAACTCAACAGAGATTTTCTTTCATGGGCTAGAGGAAGACTTAGTTTTAGATAACTGACTAATTTCTGTGAGACCAAAATAAAGAGTCTTGTGTTCACCCCATGCTTCAAATTCCTCTCAAGAACTGACTCTCATTCAACTGTGGATAAAAATTAAGCAGATGAAATGGTAACTGCAGCCAGCTGCCTACTTTGCTGTTCTGACAGAGGATGCTTCCCCTTGGTAGAAATAAACTACCCTCTAACCATGGTAGTTTTAAGACGGTTTAATCTTATTCAGTATTTAAGTTAAAACTTACTTTTATTTTTTCCCTTTTTTTAGAAGGCTCTGTTTTCTTCTTTCCCCTTCCAAAACCATGATCCCTGCGCTTTTTCAACAATATCTGTGGTTCAATCTGGAAACTTTATACCTAAGTGGGTCATCTTGGCCCATTTAGGCTAATTTAATACTCTTTAATCCCTTCCAAAGAGGTTTACCCCAGCATTCACTCAGTCAAAAAATCATCCACCTATACTTCTATTGCATTCTCAATAACGGTATTAACTGCACGTATACTGGAATAAATGGAAAAAGCTGTTACCTCTTGGATGGGAAGGTGGAAGCTGATTAACAGGGCAGAAAATGTACAGTGGCAGAACATGACTGAAATCTAGCTAAAATACAGGAAATTAAAGCTAAATAACTCACAGTTTGGAAATTTATGTTAAAAGCCTGATTCACAGTAGTAGCTGACACACCATCCCTGTGCTCACACAAAGTACAGGGGAGCTCTAAGAACACTGCAGTCTCTGAATTACCAGTGTAATAAAGATGCACAGGGCAATGCGGCCTTACCTCCAGACTTCTTTCCTGCTGTGAACTAGATCTTTACAATTTCAAGTGGTGATTTTAATACTGAAATCCAACATATTTCCAGCTAAAAGAAAGCAGAGGAGGTGGCTCAGCAGGCTGGCAACCAAGTAGGAAACCACTAGTTTTGAATAGAAGACTAAGCCACCAGAAATAGAAAATAACTCATTAATGGTTGTATCAAGAAGGCTTTTTGAAATACACTGGTAATTTAGTTTCCAACACAAAACCCATGGCGGTTGTTACTTTTCACTGTGAGTGCCTCTACAGAAGTCTGTGAGTACACTGCCACTTGTACTGTGACTGTTCATGTGCTGGATGAATAACCATCATCCTTGTAATAATCCATCTAGGAATATTTGTCTTCATTCACAGTTGTCCAGTTTCTTGCTATCTGTTCTATAGACAGAATTTCTCTTTCCAACTCAGTATGACATAAGGTACAATCAGAAGTCAAGAGCTCAAAGTATCTAAAGAATCTGATTGCCAGTGGACAAGAATTTGGTCATACTTCTAGAACAGGAGCAAGGAACAGTGATATAGGACTGGCCGATGAGAGATGGATGTACAGCACAGTACAGGTCAATCCTTTCCTTTAAGCCTGACAAGCTTCAAATTTGAATTCATTTGCTTCCTTATTGAAGAAACAGCATGGATACCAATTACATTGAAGATTTATGACGGAAGTCATTTGGAAGAACAAATTAATAGGCTGAAATTCAAAGATGAGATTTGGACAACTTCAGTTCATACTTGGATTCCAGATACAGCAGCAATTACTCGGACCAACACATCCAATTCTAGTGTTAGGTTAGGTGCCCCAGGTTTTCTGCCTTTGCTATGTAACACTGCGTTAATGGTGTACTAATTGTGCTTCACCAAGCCTGGTGTTAAACTCTCTTGCACAGCTCTGGTATGCCTCTAGTATGTTCAGTAGATGTATGGAGACCTCTGTTTTAACAGTAACTTTCCTGTGATCAAGGCTAAATTTCTAAGAACTGCATGATGTTCCCCTTCTTTCAATGGCAGAAAAGTAGAAAAAACACATCAACCAGACCAAGAGAGAAATTTAATGCTCCTGTTCCCTGGTTCAAATATCTAACAAACACCAAACCAGCGGAACCCTCCAATTTAGCCAACTGTTGATAATCACTGCAACCGTTTCTCTGCTCTTTTTAGACAAATTAACGGGGGGGGGAAGCAAGCAAGCAAGCCAGCCCAAACTACAAGCACAAGCAACTCTTCATTTTTGTGGGTTGTTTTTTTTAGCTTGTACTTACACTACTGGAAAAGTTCTGAGCATACTTTACATGGGGATGGGACGTCACAAAGCCTCTTGAGGGTCTTCAGTGCTATTCACCATTCTGTAAGACACAATGAAAAGATGGGAAAACTGAGAGATTTCTATGAAAGGTAAATACATTCTGACTTATTCTAACTTCTTGTTATCTCACTTATAATTACACAACCGGCTTAGAGGAATGGCAAATAACTTCCTGTTTAAGAAAATAAAACCAAAACCAAATACAATTACCAAAGACCAAAGCCTTCAGGGTCCTTCTCAGTCATCCAATGCATCCCTCTGCTAAAAGCCAGCAGAATGCATACCAATTACTAAATATAGCCATGGTTAAGAAAAATGCTCCCTAGAACCACATAGTTTTCTTATATCATCTTCTATTTATTCTTTTTTTTTTTTCCTTAATTGCCTGTTAAAGCCTCAGCCTCTTTCTTTACCTTCAGTGGGAGCTTTCACATAGTCTGCCATGGACCCATGGTCTTTAAGGTATGGCAAATAATCTTTTACATACAAACATCCTATGGATTATAATGGCTCAAGTTATTCCTGGATACTTCATAGATCTAAACAAGGCCAACCAGCTGAGTATTCTGAGCTTGTTCAAGCACGTTATTCTGGATAATCTTGTGACTAATCCAGGCCCACATATAATCCCAGACAGACACTCCAGTGGTAGATTCCTAAGGAGAAAGTTGATGGCTGGTAGCATAATCAGTCCTGAGACAAAAATTTAAATTACAATTGATTTCTTTTGGCCACAAGTAAATTAATCTATGCAATCATTTAGCCTTATGACAGTTACCTACCCTTTTAACTCACAAAAGCTATTAAAAGAATTATTTGGCTAACATCCGCAAAGAGTTTAGAAGACAGGTACTATGTTCTGAAAAGGAATGACCTAATAGAATTTTCTTTAGCTATCACTGCTGATGTCTTTCTCCACAAACTAACAAGGACTGAACTGCTTTAAAAAGTCAAACTATTAACCAACAGAAAGACAGGATATTATATCCAGGAAGATACAGAAAGAACCAGAGAGAATATTTACGCTTTGAGCTACGGGTGTATGAGACTTGGAATACAAAACAGGTAAGTAGAGTAGCACAGGGATTTGCATTGGATAATTCACTCTGCTCTATAAAGAGATGTCTGTAATATTAGCAACCAAGCCTGGTGGGTGGACACATCTTGGCTCTTCTCAGCAGTTCAGAGTGGCCCAGACATTGTAGTATGACTCTTCCACTGTCATGCCACTAGAGGCTTTGGGGAAGAACTGCACCTATTCCAGGCAGAGCCCACTGGGCATACACAGACTGTACCATCATTTAGGGGGATTTATTTTATTTTTTTTCCTTCTTGAAGGAAAACTTTGGAACTTCTAGGGCAAAAGGCTGGGCTGAATGAGCTCCTCCAGAAGTAACAGCAATCAGCCTCAGGCACCAGCTCACCCAGAGGGGTTAAGGCTGCCCCCATAGGACTGCTACCACCCAGATGTAGCCAAGGAAAGCAGTGGGTGTCTTGGGGCAGGAAGGCTGCTGAGATGGCTGCTTCCATTTCTCAAACAATTCATTTGGCTCACATCTACATCTCAAGTTGCCTTTTTCCTCTCAAGGAAAGGAGGTTGCCAAGAGCAAGGTCACAGACAAGATAAGTGGTCCCAGCATACTGTCCCAGGTCATGTACTGTGGCACGGGAGAGAAACTGTGGCACCAAAGTACTGATGGATGGAAAAGACAAATACGGAGGTCTCTCACAATCAGCCACGCCAAAGCTTTATAAGATAGTCCTATACCAAACGCTACTGTGCTAAATCTCTTAACTGCATTTAAAACATATTCCCTGAAGCAGTCACAAAAAATATGAGATCATGCTGTTGACTTATTGCCAAATTTTGAGGTTAATACAGAGAGCTGTTTTGTTTTCCAAAAAGGAACAAATTAGTCTTAAATATATACAAAGTTTCTGAAGGTCAGAGAGGCTCATGATAGAGAACTGGATTCCTCAGAGAAAGATTTGCTTCCAGCATGAGGAATGAGGAAGAAGCAAAGAACCAAACCCACAAAGGAAAGAAAAGATCATTTTCCATCATCATGAAACACGGTATTAAAACTGGAACACGAGAGGAGACACAGAGCCGAATAAAAGGTTGCAGTAACTCAGGTGTGAGATGACAAAGGCAGGACAATGATATTAGGGATACTAATGGAAGAGAAGAAAAATGGTAAAGGCCTCGGATGTTATAAATGAAGAGCCATTAGGATCTAGACCAAATCTGGGATGAGAACATAGGAGGAAGAAGGAGCTTTTCCAAGAGACTCCAGATCTTTGAGCACAGACAAGAGGATGACAGCATTTCAGCAGAAATAAGCAGGACAGAGTTCCTGAGATTACAGGCGAAATTCTCCATTTTTGCCATGTTAAAGGTTGAGGCAGCAATGCTACAGTCTGAACGCAATCACAAACCATCACAGACAGAGCCAAGCAGTATGGTAGGTCAGGGAATCCTCCTGTCTGCTTTGGTGGCTGGACCGGGGAAAGCAAATGCAGTTGCACAGAAAAAAAGGATAGCTAGTGCTTCTGAAGCCTGATGCAAGAACAGACCAGCTGCTATTGAAAAGGGTTACAAATAGTTTTTGACTCAATGCTGGTCTAAAGTTCAGTAGCACAGAAATACCTTTCCTGCCCCCATACACATGCAAAGGTTGCTTAAAGTTTTTTGTAATTTAACGGCCTGACAGATGGGAAACAGGCAACTCCCTCATCTCTAATTTTTAATTAAAAAAAAAATAATAATAAACCCAAACCAACATAACTTCCCTCACCAACAAATCATGACTCTGAAATCATGAATCTATATCCCCTGTTCCCTCAGCCTCCTCTAAGCAGAAAACCAGGTTTGATCACAGCAGCAAAGGCAGGTATCACCACTATCTGTAGCTGATACGCAAGTAAGCACTCACTGACCTTTGGCCTACCACATTATTCATTAAATAAATTACCTGCTAACACCGGGAAAACACTACCAGCTCCCCTTCCTATTACTGGGACAGACAATAAAAAAATCCAGTATTAATTTGGAAATCATCACTGCAGTTGTAGAATCAGATGTAACGAACAATCTTGTCCCCAGCTTAAGTTGCTATAAAGGCAGCTTAAATTTACAATGGATGAGTCTTTATGGCAATCTGTTTTTCCAATATTAAAAATCTCATTTTCTTGGTGCCAAGGACAAGTGGAAGTGTGAAGCACTGGAGTATCAACTCTGCATTTGTTTCGCTTGACATGAAATCATTCCCATTTTAGTTCCGATTTTTAATGCATTCTTGAGATCCACTTCAGTTTTCTTCATTTCTCACTGTATGCAGTTAATTGTTTTGAAGCATAGTTCACCCTGATCCATAATGCCCTCCAGAAGCAACGAGGAAGTCACTTGGTAAAGATGAAGCTGATATCACTTATTTGGAAGACAAATTAATTTTCCCTCTTAATTTCTGAGTGAGTCACATAGTAAAAAAAATAATGCCATCACTTTGTATTTCACTAATATCTTCCTTGGTAAGTTCTTATAAAGGGATTAACAAACAAGAAATTAAAAGCCTTTGTCCTTGGGGAAAAAAAACATCACAAGTAAAACATGAACACAGGGGCTAAATTCTTGGCTTAAAGCCACACGGGATGGTTATCAGTGGCTGAACATGGTATCTGCCTGAGGACACAGGCCCCACTATTAAAACAGGACTATTACCCTACCAGTTACTGAAATGCAGAAGAACCAAGTTTAAGCTTGCTCATAAACCTGGTGCCTTAGTAAAGAAAACCAGCCCTGAAAATGATGTACTACTACTGCTGAATTTACAATAAAGTCAGAGTCCCAACCCCATGCATAATTACAAACCAATGCACTCCTAGAAGTAAAAAAAACACCCAAATTTAAGTCTTTTACTTAATGTACAAATTAAGGTCTATAGGAATCATCAAGTCTTCTGGCTGGACTCTGTGTGTCTGTACGTGTCTATAAACACAGGCTGTTACATTTCATCTGGTTCACCTTCTCTAAACTGAGGCCAGCATGAAGTAAAACAAACCTATTAACCTGGCTTAACTTCTGTGCAGGGACACCTTGTCTCAAAACCAGCAAGACACCAAGGATCCGTCCATTCTAGTTCATTCCAGTACTTAATCACCCTCTCCATTACAAATTTCTACTTGATATCTACTTTGAATGCATCTGGCTTCAAATTCCAGACAGTAGCTTCTGTTAAGCACTCCTTTGCCAGCTTGGAGTCCTTTATTCTTGGGAGATGTTCAGCCAGGCTGTTGTCTACCCAGTGCTTTTAAAACCCAAGCTAGTGCATTTGTATCAAAACTTACAGATAAATTCATCTGTGTGCATGCACAAAAGTAGGACTAGTGTCCAAAATACTAAATCTAATCTAGGACTCTCTAGCCCATTTTCCAAAAATAGTCCTATTAGAGGAAAAATAAAAAAGCTCTGCCACATGAGGATGTGTTACACTTGTGCCCTGGAAAGCAAGGTTAAGAACCTTCTCTAAGAACTGCCACCTCCCGAGCACATGCTGTGGCTTGGCGGAACACAGCATCCAGTTTTATGCAGCCTTTGTACTGCAACGCAAAGAGAAAAGTTGTTTCCTAAGTATCCAGGCTCCAAGTTATTTAAATATCACTACTTTAACTTAGCACGTTGATCTGTACTTTGAGCACAGTTTTGTGCAGACCCTCAAGAAGGTGCACAACAAGCTCTTGTCAAAACTTGTGCTTAAACAAGCAACACAGTCACTGCATTCGCTGCAGCTTCTGCGTAACCTTGAACCCATGTTTGCAAGGAGCACATTGGCTCAGCTGCAAGGTAACAAGGCATGAATTGCTATGGCAGAGATCTTAAGGGACAGGTTATGACCTTCTAATCGCAGAATCACAGAAGGGCTGGTTGAAGGGAATCTCTTGAGGTCCTTTAGCCCAAATCCCCCTGCTCAATCAGCACCAGTTGTCCAGGACCTCGTCCAGATGGCTGTTGAGTATCTCTAAGGTTTGAGTCTGCAACAC